TTTACGAAAATAAGGGGGGGGGCCCCTAATAGTATTATTGCAACTATTAGTAGTACTACGTTTATTACTATTATTGCTAGTATTACTATTATTACTATTATTACTATTATTACTATTATTACTATTATTACTATTATTACTATTATTACTATTATTACTATTATTACTATTATTACTATTATTACTATTATTATTACTATTATTACTATTATTACTATTATTACTATTATTACTATTCTTATTACTATTAAAATTATTTCTATTCTGACTATTCTTACTATTACTACTAATATAGGCGCCCAAATAGTGGCCCCAAATTTCGGAAAGCCCCATATTGGTACATGCTCTTCCCCAAGACAGCTGCCAACCTCCGTCCCGCCCCGCCAGCAAGCAAAGCGAAGCGACACTTGGCAAGCTGAGGCTTATGGGAAGCTGCTGTGGCGAGAACGAAGGCAACTGGGTGTTGAGTCGTGGGGGTTGGGTGAAGCAGGTTCATGCTCTGTGTGTTGCTCTTCAGGGCTTGAAGGCGAGATAAGCCCCTGTCGCTGGCGACGGCAGGTGCCGCGCTGGAAGTGCAGAATGGCATCAACACCAACACGATCTATGGAAAAACAAAGGACATTGCCAGCACGATCTTCAAAGATTCTGGTTGCAGCCCCGTCGAGAGTAAGCACATGAAGAAGACGGGTGAGCCAGGCTGCACCTACTTCAGCATCTTCGAGAACGAGGACCATGCCGAGAACACGTATGCTGCCAACTGCGTGCCGGCGACCGTGTGCAAGGAGGACGTGGTGGGCATGACTAAAGGCCTGGTTGCAACCTACGGCGTGGTCATGCAGATTCTGCAGCCCAACCTTGGTTCGCTGGCCTGGATTGGAGAAGGCACCACGCAGGACTGCTACGCCGGCATGAACAAGATCAACGAGGGCCGGCTGGATGAGGTGATGGTCAAGACGCCTATCAAGGTGGGCCCCATTGTCCTGGGCTTTGAGGAGAAGCTGTCCTTTGAAGGCCTGAACAAGGTCAGTGCCATGGATTCCTTGAAGCAGTGCAAGGACTGCTCCCGTGTTGTGGGGTTGGTCTGTTCACTGGCGATCTAGTCCAGCCCCAGACGCACCGCCCCAAAGCACTCGTCACATTTCTGTGAGGATGACGGGTCTGTTGGATACCTCTATGTCCACAAGAACTTGTACTGGTCAGAAGAGAAGAGCGCCGTCGACCTCGAGGACTGGGTATGTTCTGATGGCAGCTGGGTTTGAATGGGAGATAGCTTTTTGACCTGCCAGGCCTTCACCAAGTTCAAGCAGGATAAGGAAGAGATGAAGAAGGAGCAGAAGAGGCAGCAACAAATGTGCCTTGACTGCCATGGTTGGGGATTCTGGAAGGCCAAGATCGGGAGGAGGCGGTGATTGACCTTCGTGATGGAATCGCGCCAGTGCCCAGGAAGGCGATCGAGGAAGCTCTGTCGAACAAGAACAAGAAGTCGGCGGAGGAAACGCTGGAGAAGGCTGGCGTTGAGAACAGTCCGTCGCTTTCTTGTTGTTTGGTGTTCGATTTCCGGACCCGCGAAGGCGGGTGCTGCGCCTGAGCCAGTGAAGAAGATGAAGGAGGGAGCCCGCACCTTATTCAACAGACCAAGCTCTGTTGCCAATTCGGTACACTAGGAGATCGCCACACGAGGGTTCAGGGTTCAGGGTTTAGGGTTTAGGGTCTAGGCTGTTAGGGGCACCAAAAAGACACAGCGACCCCAGGCCGATGCGGCAGCGGCCAAGGCCAAGGTGCCTTCTTTAGAGAATCCACGGGCACTTCAATGATTCCCAAAGGATTTTCAAAGGATTCCCAAGGGTTTGGGGGGCTTACTGTAGGGGTTTAGGGGCTTAGGGGCTTAGGGGTTTAGGGTTTAGGGGCTTAGGGGTCTAGGGGTTTAGGGGTTTAGGATTCCAGAGGAGTTCCAAGGATTTCCAAGGACTCGCCAGGATTCCCGAAAGATTCCCCGAGATCCCATGATTGGCTCGTTCGCATGCGAGGCCACTGGTAGTCACCAATGATTTCAAGTGGGAATGCGGATTTCCTAAACTCTGAGTCAGAGATTTCATATGGAAATCCTTGGTATCTTCTGTTGTACTTGCCAATTTTGAGGATGGACTCTTCACTAGCATTGCACGACTGTGTCTTCTAAACCCTAAGCCCTGAACCTCGCAACCCACGCCTCAGCCCTCCCAACCCACAGAAGCTTGGTAACACCAAGCTTGAGGTAAGTGGGCAAAAACCATCCGAAACCTCGGTGATGCCAAGTTTTTCACCTTGACAACGCCAAGGTTTGTCAGGGCACACTTTCAGACAACCTGATACACACCAATGCAACACATCACTTTCGCAGGACCTTATGACGCCAAGGTTTTCACGGGTTTCGAAGCAAGCCTGTGGAAAACCTGGGTTCAATCCCTAAACCAGCGTTTGAAAAAGGAGCTCAGCAGCACTACTCCAGCAGGCAGTGTGGCCAACTTGCAGAGCAAAATCAAGGTTTCGGAGCAACATGCTCTTATTAAACAGTTTCACACCAAGAATTTTGATAAACTACGGTGTTGGGGTGTGGAGCGAAAGTTTGGGGCCGGCGTGGGGCCAGCACATCATGCATAAAGGCGAGGCCCCTAACTGAAGGCGCAAGCAAGGCAAAATACAACTATGCAGATCAATTAAGACTGCTCTCGCCCCACGTGCCCCTTTGCACCACTTGCCACACTTGCCCCAGTTGCACAATTCCTCTTGGATGCCCAAAGGCCCTTCAGGATTCAAGGACAAAATCGGCAGGACGGCCGAGAAAAGACCAACGGCCGAAAAGTCACAGTAGCCACGTTGGCTCCATGAGCCACCACGATTGTTCTCATGACTAATTTTCCGTGAGGAGGCGTGAGACTGCTATTTCTCCTCAGGCCCCGGCTCCAAAGCCAGCAGCGCCGGCTCCGAAGGCAGCGCCGGCTCCAAAGGCAGCGCCGCCTCAGCAGGCGCCGCCTCAGCAGGCGCCGCCTCAGCAGGCGCCGCCTCAGCAGGCGCCTCCTCAGGCGCCTCCTCAGCAGCCGTGGGCCGCACAAGGGCCGCCCCCGCAGGCAGCTACGCTTTCTTTTGAGCCACACGTCCCAGACGCGAGCCACTCCATGCCTGAACAGGTTCAGAAGCGCCGCCTCTCCGACGTGATGGTCTGAAGGTTCTCTGAAAGTCCGACATCCGAGCAGTCCTCAGGTCAGCCTGTGCCCGCGGCTCCTCGGTGTGTTGATTCAGAGTTCCACACTTTTGCGCTGCACAGGGCAGCGCCGAAAGCGTTTCCCCGATTCTTTAAGAACCGCCTTCCAAATCATTTCCAAGAAAGTTAAACCATGCCTCGGCCTTCTGTGGGCTGTTGTGGGGTCCTGTCCACGATGCTGAAGAGGCTTGGGAGGCTGGGTTCTTTCCCCATGGGGGCAGCGAAATGTTGTGACCCCTTTGCAACTTTTGACTTCGGTGACCGCCTTAGTCCGAAAAACCCGAGGTTTGCAACATCCAATGCTGGGCCATAGCAGTTCTAGGCATCAAGTTTTGTGCGAGACTCAGCACGATGTACTTGGCAGCTATGACGAACAGTCTTCGATCCTCCACTGTACACCCTTTGTTCTATAGGAGGTTGTGTATGCCAAAAGGATCAGCAGAGAGGGGGAGGGGATAAGGCGAAGGAAGTGGGAAGGCCAGGAGAGCAAGGGCAACCCATTTGTTTGGAGGACGGTGCATGTCATCGAAGCCTGACCTCTGAACAAAGGTTCAGTTGCATAGATAGGCTGCGGCGTCATGTATCAAAGAAGTTCTGCTAGCTGATACAACAATACAGAAGTGCCGCAGTGGCTTCATGTGCATGTGCATATGTACATGCAGTCATGTACGTACTGTATGTGTATGTAAAACGTACGTGTATGTCAATTGTGCATATGCGTGTGTACACGTATGTGCATGTAACCAGACGTGTATAATGTTTATATGTATGTATGTATGTATGTATGTATGTATGTATGTATGCATGCATTATGTAAATGTAAGTAAATGTAAGTAAATGTAAGTAAATGTATGTAAATGTATGTAAATGTATGGAAATGTATGGAAATGTATGGAAATGTATGTAAATGTATGTAAATGTATGTAAATGTATGTAAATGTACGTAGATGTAGGTAAATGTATGTAAATGTGTGTAAATGAGTAAATGATGTAAATGTATGTAAAAGTATGTAGATGTATGTAAATGTATGTAACTGCATGTACATGTATGTCAGTGTATGTAAATGTATGTAAATGTATGTAAGTGTATGTAAATGTATGTATATGTATGTAAATGTATGTAAGTGTATGTAAATGTATGTAAATGTACGTAAATGTATGTGAATTTATGTAAACGCCTGTAAAACGTATGTAACTGTATGTAGATGTATGCATGTAAATGCATGTACGTAAATATCAAGATAGCTGCAAAGCAAGTGCAGCAGTCGAATTGTTTACAGGACTTGGGATATATTGAGAAGATGGGTCTTAGCCGCACACACGTTCTAGAACGATCATATAGTCGACAGGATTCAATGATGAGACCGCAGGAAGTTGGAATGTGCACCACGGCTTTGCCAATCATCGCTTCTATATTCAGAAGCCTAATTGCAATTCCGAAGACTACTTCTGCCCTGCTCTGAGACTGGATTGGCAACATTTGAACGCACAGAAAAGACATGTTTGACAGCGGCCCAGCTCTCGCCAGAGGGTCTGGGTGCTCATCAATTCGGGCGTCGCTCAAAAGGGGGCGTGCCCGGCACAAACTGCCAATGAGACTGCAGCAAAAAAGACACACGATCCACGCCCCGTCTTGCAGCTACCTTTTTCGTTTCCACATGCGGAACGGCCGGAATCCTCGAAGATGTTTGTTCGTTCTTTTGGTAGGGGTTTAGGATGTTCATACTTTCGGCTGGGGGAATGCTTTGCTCATGCCGAGGAGGCGCGCCTGCGACTGTCTGCATTGCAGGCAGCAGAGGAGGCGGACGGCATCATGGCCGCGTCAATGTCTTTGAATATTCGGACCCTAAACCATAAACCCTAAACCCTACACCCTAATCCCCGACCCCTATCCCCCAACCCCTAAACCTAAACCCTACAGGCCCTACACCCTATATCTTATTACACGCATCCCGCCTCGGCAACAAGCAGCGTCAGAAATGCAATCAAAACGATCATAGATCCCCAGGTCTCGCCCATCCGAGCAGTGATTCTATATGGGGGGTTTCCGGTTTTGGGGGTTACCTTATTGGGGTCCTTATTCCCAGGGAGTCCTACTATTGGGGGGACTATCTTAGGGGTCCCTTATTTTCGTACACCCCCATATCCTAAGCCGAAAAGCTCTGGGAGGTTCCCGAACTCTTGCCGGGGATCCAGCCGCCGGCTTGGCCTGGTTGAGGGGGTTTTAAAGGTTCAGGGGTTTGGGTTTAGGGTTTAGGGTTTAGGGTTTAGGGTTTAGGGTTTAGGGTTTAGGGTTTAGGGTTTAGGGTTTAGGGTTTAGGGTTTAGGGTTTAGGGTTTAGGGTTTAGGGTTCAGGGTTCAGGGTTCAGGGTTCAGGGTTCAGGGTTTGGGGTTTAGGGTTTAGGGTTGCGTTGGGATGTTCTCCCTTGTACTAACAGTCCTTAATAGGGATCAGAATAGGGGGTTACGAGAATGCCTTTTAGGCACTGTTAGTATAAGGGCGAGCATCGCAAGCCTAGGAGATTTTAGGGGATCGTTAAGTGCTCAGGGGGTTCTGAGGCTTCAGCGGTCTCAAGGGTTCAGGTCTTCAAAGGTTTAGGGTTCAAAGGTTCAGGGTTTTCATGGCTTCGGGACTCAAGGGTTCATGCAGGTGTTCCGCAAGGCTTAATGTGTATTGGTATGTCGCCAGTTCTGCTCTGTGAGAGGTCAGGGTTGAAGGGTTTCGGGGTTTAGGGTTAGGGCCCATGGATTTAGGGTTCAGGCTTTGGGTTTTTAGGTCACATTGCATCGCTTGTTTGGGTTTGATTGAACAGCGCTTGGAGAGTTTTTTTGTGTTCATGTTCCGTAGTCTACTGGAGTGTGCCAAAGAGTTGGCTCTCTTGGCTTGCTTCAACTCTTCAACCCTGCGCTCCTTCAGGTGGTTCGATGTCGAGCATGAGGTGACCCCGGGCGTTGTTGATCATGGGGGATGGGATTCAATCCTGCAAAACCGAAAACCTGAACCCTAAACCCTAGACCCTAAACTGCCAGAGTTTTCAGGCTCCATGGACGGCCACTCTAGCCTTGAACCCACCCCTCCCCGCGAAGCCGGAACCCCAAACCATCGAAACCCCCAATTCCCAAAGTTCGGTCGGTTGTTCTACTTTTGGGTACCCTTCGAGGTCACTTTTATGTTGGAACCCACTTTTTCTCACACAACCTGCCAAAAGCTTCTCAAAATTAAGATCCTGATCCCGCACTTTTGCAAGGAAAGGAGCTGGCGGCCCTTTCCCCACGAGCTCAGCCACCTTGGCGTGCGCTTCTGGCAGGCGTTGCGCAGGGCTTGCGCGAGTTCAGGGTCCGAGGGGTTCGATGAAGTTCAGGGTTTTGGGCTTAGGGTAGTTTCACGGGCCCTGAATATTATCCCTGATCGCCTTTAAGGGGTTCTGATGTATGGGCCCATAGTTTGTACAGGGTAGAACTACGGTAAGATTTGGGCTTAGGCGGCTTAGGGTCCCGGGCGGTGCCATGATGCTAAGGGGGTCGAGGTTCCCAAGCGGCAGGCGGCGTGGTCGTTCTGTTAAAGCATGCGAGCAGTCGAAGTGCACGCAATGTACTCCGAAGCGGTTGTCCTTTTGGAGCTGCTGTGGGTTCAATATATATGTATGTACATACTATATATACTGTATATATATATATACATGTATATATACATATATTATTGTAGGATAGATTATAAAATGACACAAGCAATTGTTTGATGCTTCCTGTGCTCGTCGCAGACAGGGCTCAGGCTGTGTTCCCGTCTGCAGCTGCGGCCAAGTGCGGCAGGGCTGTGGTCACTTACTGTTGGTTAGTAGGGAGTCGGGGAATAAGGTACCCTATAGAATCCCTTAAAAGGTATATGTATGTATGTATGTATGTATGTATGTATGTATGTATGTATGTATGTATATATATATATATATATGAAGGGCCCTAATTTTTCCTCATTCCCTGCTAACCAACAGTACGGTCATGGTAGAATCCTGGAAAGGAGAGGTGTCCGCCCTCTTCCAGAGGACGCCTGAACTGGAGTTCAGTTTGCGCAGGGATCTTCTGCCACTCAGCCTTGTTGGCATGTCCTCTTGTATTGCTGGGCCCTTAGATGCAAAGGGCGCCTCGAACGTCCTCAGGCCCCAAGGCTGACCTTGTCAGTTTGGGAGAGCGCGATGACATCGACCTGAGCCCTGTCCCAGGTTCGCGCGGAATGGCTTCGCCATGCCTTTCCCTCTGCGTGAGGACTTCCTGGATGTCGAGGAAGGGGAGTCCACACCCTTGCCCATGGTTGCTTTGCCCCAAGGACTTTAGCCACTAAATTGTGCTCGACAGGATAATCTCGAAGATGCGCAGCTTGCTCTGCTTGCTTTAGGTTCAGTGGGATGACTGGCAGAAGCTTCGCCGCGGGCCCTGTCTCGACCTGGCAGCTTGGACAGAAATGTGATACACACACACACACGTCATGATTATGAATTATGTTCTGTTGAAGTATTGTTGCTATTAGCATGTACTAGCCCATGATGGTGCAGTTGCTGCTGCAGTCCAATATGAGGCTTCAGGATACGAATGCTTTGATATGAGGTTTTCCTTAAATGGGTGTCCCTTTTTGGGGGTACTTGCGGTAGTTAGCGTCGTAACACCGTGTTCCAAACATCGAGCTGCCTGCTCTTGGCCTTGCACCCATTCGCGAGGAGGGTTTCTGGGAGCGAGATAACGATCTCATCTGTCTACGTCATGGAGCTGTGCATTGGCTTGCTGTAGGAGGCCTCAACCCTGCTCGCACGTACAACCTGAACTCCTATAAACCACAGGCTTATGACAGCGTCGGGGTGGTAGGAGTACACATCTCTCAAAGGTTGGCTTCTGGCAACAGCGGCGCAAAGCAAAGCAGTCTCAACTCAGCACAGCACAAGGTGGGAGTCTGGCACAAGGAGGAACAGAAATCTAGTGAGATGAAGAGGGCTCAACTCAAAGAGCCTGCAGCATTCTGATCTACAAGCCGCAGACGAGAATGGAAAATGTCCCCGCCCATTTGTCTGCGGACGGAAGCATTAGATGCAAGTATAAGAGTTGGCGAAGATTGCAGGCCCGCCAGGGCGGGCAACCCCAAACCCTGAGCTCGAAACCCTAGTCGCATCTTTGGACTTCGAGAGGGATGGAGCGGCAGGGCAAGAAGAAGAAGTCGGCCTTGTGGACGTCGTTGATTCTTCGGGATTTTGGCAGTTTAGGGTTTAGGGTATTGGGTGTGCCCAGGTCTCAGTGAGCTCCCAATGGTGCTTGTATGAGTAAAGCCAACACCCTGAAGCCACAAGCGACTCTATGCCCTCTAACACCTGAACTCTCTTCCTTCATGTCAATATGGTGAGCTTCCGAAATTAGGGGTACCTTATTGGGGTCCCTTATGATAAGGGGATCCTACTATTTGGGGATCTATATTGCGGGTCCCCAATTCTCATAAACCCCATATTCTGCTTGATATACGAAATGTAGCATTTCCTTGGCAGGCCAGCCCCGAGAAGTGCGGCGCCAGAGCAACGGAAGGCACTCTTCCAGAGGGCTTATAAGGGTTCAGGAATAGTATAGGTGTTTAGCTATGGTATGTCATGTATGTATTGTCGATTATTTACTGCAACATAGAAATAGATGTATATATATATATAGAGAGGCATATGGTTTCTAAAAATGATATGTTGTATGGTACAATATCACATTATCTGGCATATATATGTATATATATATATATAAGATCTCGGGCTGCGGGGCCCTACCCCCCGCCCCCCCCCCCCCCTCCCATGGTATCCCCCCCCGCAATGGTATGCCCCCCTCCACCTAAACCCCTAACCCCCCAACCACACCCACACCACGGGGGCGGGGCCCAAACCCGAATCCCCCCAACCACGCCCGCACCACAGGGGGGGGGCGGGGCGCGGGGGTATTAAGCCTTAAACCCTAGCCCCCCAACCACAGCAAAGGGGTTCTTAAACCTTAAGCCCTGAAGCCCCAACCACATCCACACCACAGATAGGCGGGGTTATTAAACCTTAAACCCTGAAGCCCCAACCACACCCACACGACAGGGGGGACGCGGGGGTATTAAACCTTAAACCCTAACCCCCCAACCACACCCACACCACAGGAGGGGCGCGGGGTTATTAAACCTCAAGCCCTGAACCCAGGGTGGGGGGGGATACCATGGGGGTGGGGGCGGGGGGGGGTGGGGTGGGCGTGGCAGCCCTGGACCATATATATATATATATATGTATATATATGTATACATATATATATATATATATTATATCATGAACACATTTTTGTGTATATTATACAGCACATAGTAAATAGCATATGAAGTTTCTTATATAGTGCAAAGTATATAGCATACATCATGCAACATATAGTCTACAACATACAATACAACATGTATCACTTCGAATATGACTTATAACGTGTAGCATATGTTCTTGAACATATAACATATAACATATAGCATATAACATAATGGAACATATATCATAAACATATAACATACAACATATAACATATAACATATAGCATATAACACATACCATACAACACATAGCATATAACATATAACATATAGCATACAACATACAACGCATAACATATATCATATATCATATAACATATAACATATAACATATAACATATAACATATAACATATAGCATATAACATTTAACACATAACACATACCATATAACATATAACATATAACATATAACATATAACATATAACATATAATATATATCATATAACATTTAACACATAGCACATAACACATACCATATAACATATAACATATAGCATATAACATATAACATATAGCATATAACATATAACATATAAACATATACATATACATGCGACACACGCACACATGTATATATATATATATATATGTATATATATGTATATATATGTATATATATATATATGTATATACCATACGTTTATGTTATGTCTTCCATATTTTACTACACGTTCTCCGTTATAAGTTATATGATATGTATTATGCACTTTTCTTGTGCTGTAACTCCTACAGCTGGCTGTGCCGCATATCACATCAGCGCCAGGTACGCTATAGGCCTCAGCGATGGTGCCTCTACTGTTTTAGCATTTGGCATTGCCCCTTTTCCAATAAGCAGCTGTTGTCTCTTCAACGCCATGCGCCTTGTTTTCTTTAGGCCACTTGCCCAGCACAGGCACCTCCAGTCTTGCCTGGCTTGAAGAGGGCTGCCTCCGTTGGGACGATGGAGACGTCTGGCATCGGCCTGCAGAATCGGCGCTGGAAGCAGTGACGCGCCGCTTGGAGCCCTGGCGCATGTGCGCGCTGCTGCGCTCGCTCGCGGACGCACGCGACTTCAGCGCTTCGATCCTGGGTAATCGCTGCAAGGACCTGTGCAGGCCCTCGCTGTGAACTGCTGATGTTAAAGCCGCAGCCATGTGCCCGGCTTCAATTGCAAGATTGCACACGATTGCACGTTGTGATGAATGCGGGCCCGCTCCAACCTGATTTTTTTGGCCCAGTCGAGGCAACCGCTGTCGGAGACCGGGCAGCTCGCAGAGGGCTACGCGCGGTTGTTAGAGACCCTGGGCTGAGTGAAAGTTCATGTCGGCTTTTGCGCGGCCGTATGCCGAGCAATCTGAAGTTCTACATAGCTGAGATGTGAGTTTGCAAGCGGTTTGCTGCTAGATGCCTTAGACTCGTTGGCAGCCCCGAAAGCAATTTCCAGTAAGCCCGTTTCACTGCTAGGCAGTGCGATGTACTTCAGGAGCTGGTAAGGTAACTCTTGGGGCATGTGGGGTAGTGCATGGCAAGCTTGTTCTACTCACTAGAACCGAGGCTGGTTCCAGTTGACATTGTGCTGAGAGATCGCTTTCAAAGAGCCGTAGTCGAGCTTCCTAAGCTCATCGAACAGAGGTGGGCATCGAGCGAACGTTTGCAGAGGGCTGTTGAGGTTCTAGGTTAAGCAGCTTCAGGAGTTTGAAGTGCAAGGTCCGTGTTTCGGAAGTTCTTTACATCGTGCCAGTATGTTGAACATAGAGGGTGTGATATGCTCCAGTGTCGCGACTGTCAGCGCCATGTTAAAGCGGCTGTTCTTGTTGCTCTGCCTTGCCTTTCCTTGAGCTGCACAGGAGGCGGAAGTACACTCCAGAGCTCATCCGGCAGAACTTCCACGTTGTGTATGTTGGGCATAGCTGCCTGCACCTGCGATCTACCGTGCTGCCGGATGGCGAGCATGCGGTCATGGAATTCCTGCAGCGCTGCACTCCGGTGGACTTGTTCCGGCAGCCTTTGTGCAATGACATCGCCCCGCTCCATCCGGAAGATCTGGCGGAGGACCTCTTCACCATGCAGCCTGATCGCCTGGCAAAGCTTTTGCCTCTGGCCCACTTCGATGCAGTCGTGGTGAGGAACTGCCCTGCTATGTTGACCACGCTTGCCCTTCAGAACTTTGCTTCCATGCTCCGTGATGGTGGCTTCCTGATTGCCTTTCCAGCGCACCTCCTTGAGCACGCGGAAGTTCCGCAATCCCTGAGCCTGTGCCACGTGGAGCCGGCCTGCGAGGACCGCCACGCTTGTTCTATATCCCCCTTGGGAATTATTGTTTATTTTTGTTCATATAAAACCCAAGGGGGTATTAAATACTGTTTTGATTAAGGTTCCAAGGGGAGTATAGTGTTCAGTTTGCTGTGAAATTCTCCACATCATCTGAGTCTGCCAACTTTGGCCAGGAGGGTGCCGCGCTGTTTGGCGATCTCAATGGCCGTATGTGGCAAAATGGGCAGCTGCTGCGTTGGGGCCATAAACTTGGGAACCCCAAAGCCTTAAAGAAGATGCCCTGTAAGCCCGATGTCTACACAACCTGTACGGTTGTTTAACTACCAATTGCTTAAGATCCCCGAAAAAACAAAATATTCTTCCTTATTAAGGTTAAGATAGGGATTGTTGTGTTTTTTATTCTTTTGGGGTTCTTAAGCAAATAGAGGTTAAGGGTTCAGGGTTGCAGCTTTAAGATTTACGAAACCCCCTAGAGCCCCCAATCCATGCGAGGCGCTGCTGGGCTGCGCCAGGGGTGGTGAGGGCTTCAGCCGCAAGGCCGCGTGGCGAGGTTTTTGGCTTGGGATTTTGAGTAGGGTTCTTAAGGTTTAGGGTTCTGCATGCAATCGAGTGCATGCTGGCATTGTCCAGGAAGGAGAAAAGGTCAGACGGTGAGGAGAAATAAACCCGCAACCCGAAAGAGACCACACCAAGGGAAGCACATGAGGCATTCCGTGAGAGCAAGATAGAAGTAGGCATGCTTGCTTTCATAGCAGCATCGAGGCTGCGAATGAAACACGTGCGCCAGGGCCTTTTATCCTTTTTTTTTTTTTTTTTTGGGGGGGGGGGGGGGGAATTTCTGTGGCTTGCCTTCCCCTGTAGAAAAAGTGCAGGTCGTGGGGTGCTTCGGTGCGTTTGCCGGGAGCTTGGGAGACCTCCGTGCCTCGGAAGCCCGGCTGCCAGCCGGTGGCTTGCAAGCGCAAGCCTCCGAGATCCGCTGTGATGCCCAAGCCGTGTTAAAGATGCGTGGTTCTTCTGAGCCCTCAGGCCCGAAGCTCCGAAGTCCTGAAGTCGAAGAGGAGGCGCATGGTTTTTGCCTAGTTTTTTGTTGGGATGGTCGGATTTCCTTAGGCTTGACTTCCGCTTGTGAAAGCAGACCTTGCAAGTGTGCGGAGCATGGAGTCTTCTCGATTGGCAGGCGGTGCATCTACCAGCTTGCCGTTGGAAGCCTGGTGCGTGTCAAGCGGCCAGATGCACGCAAGAAGCATAGCTGCGTTGCGCTTGAGAACGTCCTGAAAAAACCACGAATTTCACCGTCCCACGCTGCCCCAGAATGTCCCCCGAACCCTAAACCCCCCAAAACCCAAAACTGCCAGAATGTCCCAGAATGCCCCCACAGCTGCAACTCCCAGGCCCTGGCCGCATCGCATGGTCTGCAGGATGACTGCAGCTACCTACTCATCCACGGGTCACTTCGCCCAGCGACCGGTGTTGCGTAGGAAGGGTTTCTGGCCGAGGGTTTAGGGTTTAGGTTTTCGGGTTTCGGGTTTAGGGTTTAGGGGTAAGCTATCCGGTTCATTCTGCCGAGCTTCTGCTCAGCGCTTCTGTGGTGCGTTTGAGGCAGGGGGAAACAGTGAAGATTGTAGATAAAAGGTGGTCGAGGGCTTGTCCAGGGCATCTGACATGCCAATCCTCGTAACGTGGCACGGCGTTGGAAGCAATTACATACATGTACATGTACACCTAGGATAGAACATACAACATATAACATATATCATATAGCATATATAATACATACAGCATATAGCATTCTAGCATATAACACATTAACATATTTACATATCACGAGTAGCATACAACATAGAGCATATAACATATACATATATATATATATACACACATGCATGTGTGTGTATATATATATATATGTGTGTATATCTATGTAAGATAGAATCTGCTACAATGTATAGCACAGCTCTTTGACATCCTCGCACCGAGGCTGGGATGCTGCCGTTGCAGCCACTCGCAGCTGAGGGCTTAGCACTGTCGATGCCCGAAAGCCACGAATTTGCCTCCACAGAAGTTGTGACTTGCTGTACTTGTTACAATCTTGTAATATGATATTCGTAAAAAAAGTATTCTACGTTAATCTTACTTTTGTGTTCTTTCGATTGCAAGATCTTCTATGTCGTATATAAACATCTGCAACTTGACAGGGGGGAGGCCTAAGTTAGAACGTGCGCGTGGATGTCTTCCCGGAGGTAGTCGGTGCCTCCTCGCAAGAATGTCACTAAATATGTTCAGAACCCACAGGAACCCCTTCGAAAAAAGGGGGTCCCCCCCCTGTTTTCTCTTTGAGGCGGGTGGTTCTGGACATGCTCCAAAAGCTTGTCACGCCATGAGCCCAGACTGGAGTGGCCGGCCCACACCCTAAACCCGAAGCTCGAAGCCCTAAACCCTCAACCCGACACAAACCCTGAACCCTCAACCTCCCAAAAACCCCCCCGTCCCTTTATAAGCCTTGGCATATGCGTCACAGGACTGTCAGGAACAGCGGTAGCCGCCCAAGTTTCAGTTTCCACCCCCAAGAATGATTGCGTGTTGTGCCAAAGCCTCATGTGAGATTGCGGTCTGCGAAGTCCTTGCAATTCCTTGTAGTCAGAAGCCACTGGGGACCGTGTTCAATTCTTCTACCATTGCGTGCAGCTCACGTCTCCATGCTTTGAGGCGCGATCCAGAGGCGTCGGGAGTCCAGCGCTCATTGCCAGGGATCTGCAGACCAAGTCCACAAATCAGCTCTGCGAAGTACTGTTAAGCGCTCTGAACATGTGCTTGCGATACGGATATTTGCTCGGAGGTAACCTGCAGATGTAGCTTGATGTTGGACCCAACCCTCACCCAAAGCCCGAAATCTGTACCGCTACAAGGCGTCCTTAACTCTTAACCTGCAAGCCCTAAGGCCAAAACCCCCAAAATCAAGGGACCAGCCCTCTAACTCTTGACCTGCAAGCTCTAAAGCCAAAACCCCTAAACCCAAGGGACCAGACTTGGATTCTTCGCTGCTTGGCCGCGTTGCTGGCGCGCCCGGGGCCTTGCAGTCGAGAATCATCGGCGGAGGACACGTCCAGGGGTAGAATCATTACGAGTAGTATTCCCTTCTGGTCCCTACAAACTTATACTAAAGTTACCCCCCCAAAACCCCAAAACCCTATTCTAATTGGTAAGGCCCTCAAGATTGCCAAGATTAGATGCCTTGGTGGAACATGGAGGATGGGCTCGAAACTGGCCCCTAAACCCTCCCCGACTTAAGATCCACTGTTCAGGGTTGGGGGGCTTCTCCTACTAGGTTTTTTTACGGTCCTGGTTAGTTCAACTTCCCAAGCTTCCCAAACTTACCAAACTTACCAAACTTCCCAAACTTCCCAAACTTCTCAAACTTCTCAAACTTCTCAAACTTCTCAAACTTCTCAAACTTCACAAAAACCTAAGCCCAAACCCCTAAGTTTTCAGGCTGCACTGTGGTTCTCGTCCCTTTGAGGCTCTGCAGGCTCCGCGTGGCGGTGGACGCCTCGGCGGCAGATGGAGGCGTCGCATGGGCTGGATATGGGCATTTCCCAAAGTAGGGGTTTTAGGGTTTAGTGTTTAGGGTTTAGGGGTACCCTTTGATACCCCAATAAAGGGACACCCCGAAAAAGGTACCCCTGTTTTCGGGAACCCCCAAAAAGTGTCTGCTGGCCTGCAAGATAGGATGCACCCATATGAAGCAGGGTTGAATTTAGTAAGAGTTCCTTGTATATCCCGGTGAGTGTGTGTATATATATCTGTATATATATATATGAGGTACAAGTAATATAAACCCTGTTTCATATGCTGCCTTGCATGGTTTGGCATCATGTCACCCAGCCCGGTCCCTGCCCGACGATCTGATGCGTGCGCGGCAGCGCTAGGACAAGCGCTGCTGGCCAGCGCCGCTGAGGTGCGCCATACGATGTACGTGTATACAGACATATATATATATATGTATATATATATATATATGTACATGTATGTGTATAGAAGCATATGTATGTGTGTATGTATATGTACATGTACCTGTATATATGTACACATCGCATACCATACCCATACTCTTTACATGTGTATGTGTATGCGTGAATGTATGAATGTATGTATGCAGTATGTGTAGGTAGGTAGGTAGGTAGGTAGGCAGGCAGGTAGGTATGTAGGTATGTAGGTATGTAGGTATGTAGGTATGTAGGTATGTATGTATGTATGCATGCATGTATGTGGTGATGTGACATGTAATTTTGCTAAAACATAGGGTTGTTCTACAGTGATGGCTCATTGTGCTTGCGCTCATCAGTATTGTTGACGAAGGGCACGTTGTCGCGATATGCACGATAGCTTAGCATTTCGCTTTCTCGCAAGTTCCGATTTACTCACGCCAGCTGCCACTCTGGTGCCATGCGAAGGAGCTGGGACGGCTGTCTTGTAATCCACTTGATCGGCCCTCAGCATTCGGGATGGGGGAGATTGTAAAGTGGGATTAAGTTCGGGAAGCATTCTTAGTCAGGGACAGCTGCTTGATTGTCTTTGTCTAAACGCGTCTTTGCCCAAGTGGAGCCTGAAGTGCCCACCCTCACACTCCACATGCGATTCTGCAGTTCTCGGCGGAGTCACGCTCGGCGCTGAAGTCCCATTCGCCCGGGTCACAGACGATTGCAGGGAGGTGCTTTCGCAGCTGTGCAGCCTTGGATAGCTACAGGCCTGCAGGTTTCGAAAGTGTGTGAGGGCCCACTGCTGCTTAGACACGGTTTGTTCTTTGTGGACGAAACAATTTGGGGGTTTGCGAGAATAGGGGTGCCCTTTTTTGGGGTTCCTAGAAAAAGGATTAAAGCATTTGGGGGTATTTTAGGGGTACCCCTGTTTTGGGAAATACCCATTTCTAGCCCAGCACTTTGCAGGCGGTATCGGTCTTGATTAGTTTACGCTCGAGCAGAGGAACTGTGCGTGTGGAGCCCGAGGCTGTTCGCGACCCTGCTGTGCAAGGTGCTTCAGCTTTGGTGTATTGACGCTGCGTTTAAGAAGATCTTCTGAGATGAGCCGGCAGGTTAATCTTCTAACATTGAAACACTCAGGTATCATTATGTGATGATATTATGGTATCATGAATGAGGTTATGATCTCATGGTCTTATGAATTATGACGTTATGATGCTATGAGATTATGAGATTATGAGGTCATGATATTCTGGCATGATGTCATGATGGTGTTCGCATACTATGATGCTTGAATACTAACGTTGTGAAAAGTAATTTGCTATGTTCTATCCTCAAGAAATGATTCATAAAGGAAACCAAAAGGGAGAAAAAAGGTAACTAACGCTAATGCGGCCCGCCTCGGAGCGGCCTGCACGTCAACTGTATACAGGAGGCATCGTCTGAGCTATCGGCCTCTGGTTGGGTAGGGTGTTTAGGGTTTAGGGTTTAGGGTTTAGGGTTTAGGGTTTAGGGTGCAGGGCTCAGGGTGGGTTCTGGACGGTGGGAAATCTGTTGGGATGGTTGGGGGTCCGGCCCAGGCAGTCCGCAGCAGGCTGTGCAGGTCCATAGCGGGATTTCGTCCATCCTGCCAGAAAGGGTCCGCAAGGTGTTCGCAGTGAGTCCATAAGAGACTCACAGGCAGGTCCATGATCCCTGGAAGGCCCATGTAGGACCCTCCATGGTATCGGTTTGCAGCTGCTCCAAGCGATCGGGGGGGGTCCCACAGGGCGGGGGGGGGTGGTGTCACAAAAGGGGGGGAAAGGGTTGGGTTAGGGGGAAGGAGACCGGATCCGGGTCTGCTTGTTCCAGACGCTTCACGGCAGGAAGCCGAGGCGAATCTCATAGAAAGATGGCCCATAGTGGGGTCTGCAGCAGCTCATAGGGGTTCTTAGGGTACACCGTCTGCGGGCGGGCGTCAGGGGAATAAGCCTCGACAGAATCTAACACCTTACAGAGGTCAGGAAGTGCTTTGTCAAGCCCGAACGGAACACCTCTCCAAGCTGAAAATTCAGGGGCCAGCTTATTGCTAGACTCGCAGGTTCCCGCCACAAACGTCTTACATAGTGAGGATTAGATGTCGATGGCTTCATGGCTCAGAGGCCGCACTTGGGACCCGATTCCGCCAAAGACTCAAACTCCAAAGCTCTCTTGGTTTGTGGCTGCTGACAGGGAGGAGATCCACGCGAGCAGCTGCAAGCGCTTTGTGCCGCGTGCGGGGAGGCGTCTTGTTGTTTCGGACAAAGAGGCCCAGAAAGGGTCCAAAATTTGGATCCAACTCCCGAATAAACAAAAACTCCCCTGTATGCCGCGCTGTTTATCCGCAGGCCTCACCGGTGGCAGCCGCGCAGCTTGCGGAGTCCGGAGCCCTGGATACTACGTTGGTGCGCATTGACGGCTCCGTCTCTCGTAGTATAGGGCTTGGGGTTTAGGGTTTAGGGTTTGGGGTTTAGGGTTATGGT